CACATACCTCAAAGCCCTGAACAAAAGACCATTGGAATTAGTGGGGAAGACATTTATTGGCTTCACTGAGCTTTGGATCAGCCCCTTGGTAGACATTAATTAATCACACCTTACATCCCTGTAAGGTAGGTAAATGGATTTATTTGTTAATAAATCATTTCAGTATTCTCACCCTTAACCACTGTGCTTGGCGTACCATTCTATTCACCCTTGGTTTGTCAAGCTAAATATATTTTTAAGGGCTAACTAATATTTGTGTATGTTGTTTTGCTCAAATTTATATTTCATTCCTCTCTCGTTGTTTATATTCCCCTGTTAAGGCTAAATGGAGCCGAGGCATCAGACAATATTTATATTGGAAATAGTTGTAAAAATTATCTGTGCTGTTTAATTAAATGATAACGAATGGCAGACTGTGTGGTTATGCTGATTGATGGGGTACCTTGGCTGTGCAGCGAGGCATGAGGTGAAGACAAGTGCTTCCAATGCACCTGAGAAGTGTCATTAATCAGCATGAGCATATGGTCAGAAGTGTCCTATGGCTTGAGGGTGCAAGCCCTCTACAAGCAGAACTCCCATTGAAATCGATGAGAGTCCCAGGGACAGAGAATTTTCAGGACTGGGTCCTTAATGGCATTACATTGTGGGTAGCAGAAAATATAAATAGTACATTCAAACTCATTTCTTAGAGATGTTGAACTCCTCAGTTACACATATATTATAATAGCTTATTCAAAAATATATATTAAAAGAACAGTAGGGCTGTACAATAAAGCATGCACAAATGAAGAATGGCCAAAGTAAATGTTGCGTCAACAACCTTAACTCTGCCCCCTTTTGTGCACACGTTACCATTTAGGGTATGTCTACGCAGCAGAAACTGTGCTCAGACTAGCCTACCTGGGCTATCGTCAATCCAACTAGTGTGGTTAACAAACAGTAGTGAACAGCACAGCACAGCATGGATTCCAGAGTGGGCTAGAGAGTAAAATGTGCACCCAAGATCCATTCTGCACATATGCTGAAACCCACAGTGCACTGTCTTCATTGTTATTGGTACCTGTGCTAGCCGGGTTCAAGCTGACTCAGGTAGGCTAGCCTGAGCACAGCCTAAAGACAGCCTAAAGACCACTGTCTGTAATGACATGATCTCACACTATTATTTCCTGTTTCAGGCTCCAACTCAGCAAACTATTGACACACATGCCTGACTTTAAGCAAATGAGTATTCCCACTGGCAATAGAATTACTCACGTGCTTGAAGTATGTGTATTGAGTATGTGATTAGCACCATGCCTCATCATCCAATCCAATGTGCAGTGCGTCAATGGATATCTTTCCATTGGGTGTTGAGGGTGTTCCTCAATTTGTAGGCTGGATAATACACAGTGCATGAAATAGCACAAAATTTTAACTACTCTATCCAGGTGTGAAGGGGAAAGTGGCATGCAGTGCCACTGCTATCCGTCAAGCAAAAATTAATACAAGATGATTTATTTCCTCAATGTAAGTTTAATTGTGAATATTTTAAAATCATTATTTAAAATGCATTGTATGTGCTTCTATGTAATATGTGTCATCCTCCCAACTCCATTCCTGGCTCTGTTGCTTCACTCTCTCCAGCCCACATGTTGCGGTCCAATTTCTGCTCTCACTTGGACCAGTGTAAATTCAAAGCCTCCTGACTTCAGTGTAATTCCTTCAGATGGGCACTGTTGTAACTGAAAACAAAACAAAGGCAGAAATGAGGCAAGAACCCAAAACACTCATTACCAGAGATGAGCTGGTGAGAGCCTCTTGTTAACAAAACCGCCCGTAAGCTTCCATGAAGGAGAATCTCAGCTTCCAATGTAAAATAAATAAAGTGCTGATGCTCCACTATGTTACTCCAGCTGGATTCCAGTGCAATTCCACTGGAATCAACAGGGTTCCTCCGGTGTAAATCCGGAGCAATACAATCTGTATTATTTCCTACCTAACATTTTTGTTGTATTTTTGTGAACTACACTGTACACTGAGCAGAGGTTTGAGTTGCTCTCAGCAATGTCCACATGTTTGACTTCAATGAATCTCTGTGCATGGCTCTGATTTAGTTTAAGACAAAAAGCAGTAGATGGGTGAAACAAACATATGACAGTGTGAACTGGGCCAGAGTGGGGCGGGGCACGGCACACAGTAATTCGAACATAGACCGTCTGCATACAAAGTCTGTAGATGTAATGAGCCAATCAGTGGTAGCAATATCTAAACCATCACAATCTAAATAAGAGTCGAAATATTGTTACGGCTAGTTGAAAATTTTCTGTCAACTCTTTTTGGACACAAACCTGGGTTTTCAACTAAACAAAAGTTGTCACAGCAAGTGTCCACATTCCTTGGGACATTCATTGGAAAACCAAAAGCCACAACACCAAAAAAATTTTTTGGCGGGTGAGGGGGAGAGGGGTTTCAAGATTTTTGATGAATATTCAAAATTTTCCATGGGGGAAAAACATTGTAACTGTCCCTATTATAATGAGTATTATTAATTATTTTATTATTAACTTTTTCTTCCTTCCATTGTTCTCTCATTTCAGACGAGAGGAAACACTTTTTGAAATGAGTTGAACATACTTTGCTGTCTTGACACCACCGTTGTCTTTTGTATTCTTTACACATTCTGCATTAGTTTTTGTGATTCCTGTTTTCCTGCAAGATTTACGGAATCTTTCCTTCTTTTTTTTTAACCATTCTGACTATAGGAACATAGTTCTGGAGATAGGAACACATTAGTTACTTCAGATTGGAACTGCCATAAATTTTATCTTAGCACCAGCTAACCTGGGTTCATAAAAAAAATTATCAG